GCCTTAATGAGCAATTTCTTCATGTGTGATTATTCCACATCCCAGGGAATCAGTGTGAGGAAAGAGTTTACAGTACCTGACATGGGTGACTAAGTCTTAATATTGAACAGGATTTACATCTGATGTAAATATTTTCCATTTTCCTTTTCCTACCTTTTCTCCTCTCTCTGAAATCCCCCAGCTGTCTGTGTAAGAAGCAGTGCCTAGTGCTGGGCTTCCTCAATTTTCATTCTTAATTGAGTTGTAAATTCACCTCATAAACTCTTACAGATCTAGTGGTCCTACATTTACAACTTTTTAATTATCTTCTTAATTAACAGAAGCCTCAAGGTCCCAGTACGTTTCTATCAGATGAGTCTGCTATGAAACACATTAACTTGGACTTCACTGGTTTTAAAAACATCCTCCCCTCAGCCTGGTTCTGTGTATCAGCATTGCTCTCTCTCTTTGTCCTCTTGTTGATAAAAGTGCTTGGGCTGAGTGCTGCATTGCATTCTTTGCTGTGCTCAGAGAGGTGTGACTGGTGAGCAGGATGGGCAAAGGGAGCAGGGGGACTCCTGCCCTGGAGCCAGAGGTACCCTGTGCACCATGGCAGGGGGCTGCTGCTTACAGGCTTCCTTGTTTTATGTTCATTTTCAAAGGGGAGTGCCAGCTCAAGGCTGTGGTGTCCTGCCATAGCTGCTTTATATGATTCCAGTAACAGTGGTGCAGGAATGTTTGCCCTGGAGCAGTTTGGCCAGTGAATCCCACCCACACGTGGTATGTGCTTGTGAGAAAAGGCATTGGAGGGAGGGAGGGAGAGTTCAAGGACCACTGACATCTCACTGCTGCTGTATGATTCAGTTTCGCCTGCATCAGTGCTTAAATGAAAGAACTTGGCTTACCTTCTGCCCCAAAACCACAAAGATAACTGAGCAGCCTGGGAGTTCAAAGTGCCAGCTTTGACGTACAGAGCTGGATGTCTGCCCAGGATGGGATTGTCCTGATTTGGTTTTTTGGTGTATTTCATTAATTAGGCTGGTATTATTTATACTTTTCAGGAACAAAATCATGCCTAGGAGAGTGTTCCCTGTAAGTACCTGTTTGCAGTAGCAATATCCCTTTAGCAGAAAACAGGATTTACACAAGCTGCATTTTAAACTGCTGGTACCACAGTTAATCCTAAATGCTGTAAACTGTAATGGCCTATTTCTTTATGTTGAGTTGCTCTTTTCCTCCCAATATCCCATTTTCCATCTGCAAAGCAGCTTATGGTGGTTCATCTGCAGTGCTGACATTCAAAACCTTGCATGACTGGCAGCAGTAAAACTTTATTTAGCTCCCTTCTCAGGCTGAGAAGGAAATTGCTGTGGCACAAAAACATTCAGTAGCAAAACCAAGTGTGTGGTATTGCTTCCATTGTTGTTCAGTTGTTCTTTTCCCCTTGTGCTGGATATCTTGAGGAAGGGCTGATGGTGAGGCTGACAGCTCTGCGGGAATTGCTTTTCCTCTGTGAGGGATCATTACAATTGTTAGTGACAGCACAGGGGGACATGCTGCTCCCCAGGATACATAAAAATATAAGGGATGCTACTTTATGTGGTTCGGAAGTCATAACTGTCCACTGATGTTATCTGGATGTTGAATTAACTAAAACATTACAATACTAAACCCATTTTCACCCAGTTTCACTCTCAAAGGAAAACCTAGCCTTCATTTGTTAGACTGCAGGCTTGATGACTGACTTGACATTGTTAAATGTAGTCAAGTAAGTGAACAGGCCTGTTTGCAATTTCTCAATTGCAAATCTTTAATACAGAGATGATGTGTTAGCTGCTTCTTCTGGCTTCATGAATGCATATTTTATTAACTACCAAGACAAAAGGAGAGCTACACTGAGATTCAGGGGATGTCAGATGCCTATCAAGTGTTAGCAGGGTGGAATCCGTTTCCCCAGTTCCACATCAAAGAAATACTGAAAGTAATAGTGACACTAATACCAAGAATAGCAATTTATGTACTTTTTTTAAATGCTTGGATTTAAACTGCCTTTTACTGCATGTACACCCTGTCTGTCACACTGGTGGTGTGCTCATGCTAGATTCATCATGCAGTGTTAAAATGTCGATTTTGCCTATTAGAACATTGCATTATTTGCCTACCTGCTTTCAGAACCACTACTACTTTGGATGTAAAATATAGTATAAATGGAAAAAAGGAAAATAACTTACTGGTTCTGGAGAAGATTCCTTAAATGTGAATAGTTATTTGGAGGCAGTCTTTTAAAATCTAAATTTTCCAAGCAAGTTCTAAATATTGTGAAAATTGTATCAGGTCATTGTCACTTTGTCATCAAATTTGGGAATAAAACTAACGCTGTAATTTCAGCATCAGAAAGTGAAATCACTTTTATTTTCAGCACGGGGCATGAGGGGGATCTCTCTGCCTAACCCCCACACCACAGCTAGAGAACAGAGTTTAAACCTGTGTAAATGATTCAGACTCATTTCATCTCCCCAAATTCATACAGACATGCTAAATGTTCCTGCCAGTTCTTCTGCGTGTTTAAATCACCTTCCAGCAGCATTGCTGAGGCCCAGTTTCTAAGGGGAAGATAACCACTTGCACACACGAGTGCAGCCTAAGCACTGTAAGCTAAAGATAAAGGAATTATCATTGTTACAGTTAAAAGTTTTCCCAAAATGTGCACAAGTGAAGGATGGCAAACAGCAGAAAAAAGAAATTTGCACCCCATGGCTGGAGCTCCAGCCAGTGCAGCTCAGGAGCTTTTCCTGGCCTGCCACTGAGAGGAATCTTCTTTTCCTTTGTTCCCTTTCTTTCTCCTCTATTCCTTAATTTTCTTTTGCTTTTTCTTTTAATTTTGTTTCCTGGTAGCCCCCTCAAGTTTGTGCCTCAAACCTCACATCCTATGTCTTTTCTATAAAGACAACAACTACTCTCATCTTATCTTCCTCTTCATCTCCCATGCCTGTTGCTGTTCCAGGTTTGCTTTCCAGATTATAAACACTGGAGAAGGGAGCCTTTTGTTGGGGTTGTGTCCACAGGCACGGCAGGCAAACCCCTTGGTAACCACTTTTATTTCCTTCAGCAGTGCAAACAATGCCATGCCTGAGGTTAAATGAGGTGAGACAGCGTTTGAGCTGCACTAAGGCTGTTTGCTCTCATGTACAGCCCTGAGTGAAATGAACTTCCTCCTGTGTCCCCTCACAGAGATGTCCTGCCTGAGCACTGAGGGAAAAGAAGCTGGTGAGGGGATGTTAGCCAGAGAGATGAGAGCTGCTTCCATCATCCCAACTCCAGGTTGCTGGAGACCTCTGCAGGAGAAATGGGTACAGGAACTGGTCCCACTTCTGGCACAGGGCACCACAGGACCAGATGAGGACCCAACATCAGGAGCATCAGAACTTAAAGCAGTAGAAATATCCAGACCATAAGCAACATAGTAATCCTAGAAATCAGGGTCAAGAATTTACAAAGAATGTTTCTTTTCAGGTGAACATGCTTAAACCTAAAAGACTAAATTACTAGGAGCATGGTCATTTTCTCATTTCTCCTGAAACAATTCCAACTTTCTTTCTTAATGTTTTAGGCATTTCCCTGCTGATTAAATCTGCACACTGGACAAAATTAAAAGGTACTGAACATTTCCACCCCCTGATCTAAGAGAAAAGCACTGACTGTCAGTTACATCAATGATCCTAGCTAGATAAGAAAAGACATTATTTGATGTGGGAAAGACTGATAAATTACTTTGGATTTTGTGAATCATGGCATCATTTTTCTGCCACTACAGGTGAATAAGTTTTTTCCCTACTTATAGACTTGTGAAAGCAAGAGATATGCTGCTATCTTTGTTTTCTCTGGTAGGACAATGATATTCTCATCTAAGAAATGTTGTTCATCTCTGTGTCAAAAACTCATGTTTGCTTGGGCAATACAATTTGAATTTCAGTGTATAAGTCTGAACCAAGATAAATATGACTATGCTATGTTCCTGTAAGAAAGAAGGGTAGTATCAAAAGCTTCCATGTATTTATAATTTTCCAACCATGTCAAAATAATTCTATACCTATTTCTTAAGAGATGTTTAAAACCAATTTCTTGGTGCCTGCTATTAATCCTCTTAGTGGACTCAGTGCAGATGTGTGGGAAAATGCTAGTCAGCTTTAGATTAGATTCTTCTGTACCTGCGGAAACAAGCAAAATAAAATCCTCAAATCCTTGTCAAATCTGGTGTTTAGGTGAAATCCAGTGCAGGGCTAGATCAATAGTTTGGGGTGGGGTTTTTTTGGTTTAATATTTTTTATGGAAAGTTCAATATTGAAATGGAAACCTTATTTTGGGAGTTTGAAGACAAAGACTACAGGGTATGTACAAGGTGGCCTGCATTTATTGAATCCCCAGTCTTGGGTTTATGCATGCACCAATTACTGTGATCAGATTTATGTGGTTTACATGAAATAGAGTTTTCTTTGAAGAAACTTTCCTTTGACATACGTGGACACCAGCAGCTCCAATCTGATGTACATGAATGTACAAAAGAGGATGCAGAAGATCTGTTCATCAGAGCTGTTAATCAGGGCGTGAGCCAACTTTCCCCAAGTCCTTTGTTTCCCAAACAATTCATTGTTGTACATTCTTCTTCCTGTAACTATGAAATCCACATTAGTATGTTTTTCCTCCTGAGGTCCTGCCTTATAAGCAAGGTAAAATTGTGCCAGATACATTTGTTCTCTTTTCAGGGTGGATATAGAACTTGGCGTTACCTCGTGTATGCAACGTGATGTTGCTGACTAAACGGCAGAAATTGAGTTAATTAATTAATTGTAAAAGGACTGAATCAGCGTTGTTGCCGATAGACATGGAAAGAGTAAATGTCACGAATAGCGAAGCTGTCGAAATACCAGCGTTTCTCGGCAGGGCTGGGCCCCGGGCAGGAAACGCTGCCAGCCCTGCCCTCGCTCCCCGCCCCGCAGCGCGGCGAGCTGCCGAGCGGCGCGGGACGGACACGGGGACACGGGCACAGCGGGACACGGGCACAGCGGAGCGTCCTTAGCGAGCGGGGCTCCTTGCCGGCGCTCCCGTCAGGTATCCCGGGCTTTCCTCACGGCATGGGCAGAGATCCGGGGGCTGGGGCAGGAAAGCGCCGCCGAGGGGGAGCCCCGCGTGTGTCCGGCTGGGCAGCGCGGGTGGGTTAGGATTGATCCCTGTAGAGCAGGATCGGGCTGGCAGGGACTGCGTTCAGGGAGGTGCTGCTGCTGCCCGGGCTGTCCCGGAGAGCCCCTCGGGCCAGGCAGCAGCGGCTGCTCCCGGCTGGTCCCTGTGCCGGGGATGGGGCACATCGCTGGTCCCTGTGCCCGGGGATGGGGCACATCGCTGGTCCCTGGGCCGGGGATGGAGCACATCGCTGGTCCCTGTGCCCGGGGAGGGGGCACATCGCTGGTCCCGACTGGTCCCTGTGCCCGGGGAGGGGGCACATCGCTGGTCCCTGTGCCCGGGGAGGGGGCACATCGCTGGTCCCGACTGGTCCCTGTGCTGGGGATGGGGCACATCGCTGGTCCCGGCGAGCGGGAGCGGGCTGTGCTGCCGGGAACTGGCACTCCCAGCTCCTAGTAGAAGAGTCACTGTAAGGGAGAGGGTATCCTGCTCCATCAGAACAAAAAAAAGAGTAATTCCTTCTCTGAATAATATTTTCTTAACATTTGTACCAATTCATTTAATTAGATCAATGAGATGATTTTTTAAGCATGCTGTTTCTCCAGCAGTCGGGGGCTGAACAGTTTAATAGAATGCAGTGTAAAAAAAAATAGCCTCAAAAGGAAAACTATTGCATGTGTCCTTGCTATTCAGCTTCCTGGTTTTTGAATATTACAACTTCTTGGAAATCTTGGAAAGGGCTTGGCTTGTTGTATAACTAAGCATGTTTGTGCTTGGGAGCTTACATTACGTTAACGTGCTCTTTGCAACATTTTAGTGAGCTGGAAAAGAAATGAATCTACTTGTTGTGCTAGTATTCTGGTTTTCTGATAAAGGGCAGAAGGCCTATAATTAACATAATTATGGCACGTCTGAATTACTTGCAGCATATTTAGTGACATGCCTGAGGCTAGGGACATGTAGCTGTGTTATGTAGTTCTGAAAATGAGAAAGTGATCAGATAAAAAAATGAGGGCTGAGCTTTGTAAAATCTTTATTGCTTCCTACTACAGAGCATATCAACCTTTTCTAAATCCTAGATTGTACAGTGGCTGGTGTGTGTGGTTGTAGGGACAATGAAAGATTCTGGACAATTACAAAGCCTTTCTTTTAAATAAATCACATGATTCTGTCTCTACTCTCCCTTTACCAAGGGGTTTAGTTGTAATTCTCAGTATTTCATTGAAGTTCATGTAGCTGGAACATCTCACAGCATAAGCTGATCTTTTCTAGTTTTATTCTTCTATACTTTGTGATATTCCTCCATTCATACAGTAACTACAATCCAATCTACCCTATGAGTAGCACCCAATTTAAGTACGTGTAACAGGACAGTAAAGGATTTTGTTAGTAAAGTAGAAGAAAAAGTATATTAAAAAGGAATGGATTAAGAGCAATTGAATCTGCATGACATTCCAGAGGCATCAGACATCACCCCGTGAGAGCTGCTTTTACTCAGGGAATGAAAAGCAGGAAGGAATTGCTTTCAGTTTCGCTTCCCGGCTTTGACCAACCATCCTCATTGAAACGAAGTAGTTAGAAGAATCATTAACAGACACATTTTATTCATGGTTTAACTTGAACTGGATTATTTTTAGAGAACAACTAGATTTATTTTTTATTTTAAAGCTTTCAATCCTATTAAAAATGAGTGCCTGTACCATTCTTTTTTACAGTTCCATGCTTGGATCTCCTGACTGTCTTGGATCTGTCTGTAATAGCAGTTGCTGCTGTTGCCTTGCTTCACTCATTACCCCAGAGAAAGAGATAACTCTCAAGGTTTAAGCTGGTATTAGTAAGTGGGGTTTTTTTTGTGTGTAGTTTTATTTTATTTGGGTTAGATTGTTTAGTGGGGTTTTTGTTTTTTTTTTTTTTGTTGGTTGGTTGGTTGGTTAGTTGGTTGTTTTTTCTTGCTGTGAGCTATGTTGTTTGGTTGTTTTTTGTTTCTTTTAGTTTATTTCTCTTGGTAACCAAAGTTTGTGATCCTGTGAAGGCAAATACTGGATATGTGTTATTTAGTATTACCACTAGAGAAAGGGCATAGCTTGAAGAACTGAGTAGGTGGTAGCATGGCTGCTCCAGTGTTTGCCTGAGCACGTTTTGTGGGTAACAGCAATACCTGAGCCAGCTGCCCTTAAATTACTGCAGTAAATTGTTCATATGAATTACAGGATATTTCTGAATGGCTACACAGTGGAGTCTTGCACATCCCAGTGCTTTTCTGAGTTGAGGATGATTTCAGGATGGAATTTCATGATTTCAAAGCATGACTGTAGGCATAGAAAACTCAGACTTCAGTAGCAGTTGAGACATAGCCTAGAAGGAAGCTGAGATTAAGTTTATTTTTGCTTGTATTTGTAATTTCACTTTCCCATACAGTTTAGAGAGACAAATATCTTTTATCAATAACAGAGAACTCTGAATGGCTCTTATGTGAAAGTATATATTTAAAAATCATGAGACAAAAATGTTCTTTTGCAGAGCTACAAGCAGATCTACAACAATGCAAGGTGAGTAAAATATAAACAAAATGTCATCTTTTGCTAACATCAAAGACAGCACATTCAAGCAATATTAGCTTAGCTATTAGCTTACTTTCTAATTATATGAAATATGTATGAATGCTTTAACCTGAAATTATTTACATTTTAAAATGGAATATTTTGCAAAATGTAGAGCTTATATTTTCAGATCTTGATTTCCAAAGTTAAGCAAAAATAATAAATAATTTAGTAATCTTGAAATTCAAGTTATTTATTATTAAAAACTGAAGATGGTAAATGTTTTTAAGTCCATAACACTCCTCATCTGCTGGTGAGGCATTACTGTAATCTGAACTTGAAGAAGTTGGGAGAAAAGGTTTTACACAGAGGGGAATGGCTCTCTGCCATGTTCTGTACTGGAAAGCAGGCTGTCAGTTCCTGGCAATGCTTTGAATTCAAGCCTCTTTCTAAATAGCAATGAACAAAAGCATCTTTGCTCCAGGCAGAGTGAACTGACCCTGCTTGGATTAGCTGATCTCAGGAGGTCCCTTCCCAGCTGAACAATTCTGATTCTGTGACATGTTCCTGACATCCTGTGCAGCACCTGTCTTTTTTCTCTTCTTTAAGGGCCAGAACTCCATTAATTTTTTTTTATGCATGCATTGCTCATAAATATGATCTTGATGTGTATTTTTGCTGTACAGAAAACAGCTGCCTAGATTTTGTTCTATATGTACTCTGGAAAAGGAGTCAGTGCTGGGGATCTTTCACCCAGGGCAGGAGGATATGATCCATACTCAGGGTGTATTTTCATTCTTCCAGGACCTCCACCTGCCACAGCTCCTGGAGTGCCCTATGGCTCCCCTCAGCAGGTCCCTGGGCCTTACCAAGGTGGGTGACTTGGTTACAGATCTGTGAGAACATTAGGAAATAAGCATGGGGAATATGGGGTTGGACAAGGGTGATCGCCTCCAATTTACTTTTCTGCTATTAATTCTATAGAGTTTCTTTTAACTTCTGTTTTGCTGAAAGGTCATTTCTTTCCTTTGTGGTTCTGCATTTTAGTATGTGCTAAGCAGTGGTAGGAGTTAAGAATGTCAGGTGTTCCTCAGTGGTCACTGTGGGGAGTTTGCTAGGCAGGTTTGCTGGATGTTACTGATTGCAGTTCATGTGCAGCAGGTTCTTACTGGTAATCAGACTTTTTAATTACCATGTTACTTCAGTATTTCACTTTATTTTCCTCTGGAAATACAGAAGTGAAGAATTGTTTTTCTCTTGCAGTTCTGCATGTATTCAGTTCCTGTTTCTTACTCTGTTGCTGTACTTTGCAGGTGGTTACACCTTACACTTTCCCTCACTCGCTCTCTCCTCTTCTGTCTCGTTTTCTGCTCCGCTTCAAAATGCAGCTCTCCTGAACAGCTTCTCTCATTCTGGCAGTGATTTCTTTCTGAAGAAGCAAATCACAATAAATATCTAACAATCAGGCTCAGAGCATAAGTCAGAGGTAAAAAGCAAAATGTTTGGCCAAAGTTACTGTGCTGTTCATAAGTTAAAGCTTGTGCATCCTGGGACAAGGCACTCTGAGGTCTGTAAGTACAGCTGGCTGTAGCAGGGAGCAAGGCCTCACTGCCTGTGCCCTGGAGGTCACAGGGACATTGTTGTTTTGAGTAATTCTGTGTGCACACACTTGCCCACAACAGCTGCAGGTAGTTGGTTTGCAAAGCCTGTGCTCACTCATCAAAGTGGTTTTGAATTCCCAAGGGATTCTTCCCTGGGGTGGGTGATGTGGCCTCCTTAGATCACCTGAGGCACCATGGCCACTGCCTGAACTTTCACGTGCACTGGTCCATGTGTTGTAATGTATTGTGAAATTTGGTGCTGAGCAGGTGTGGACTGAAAGTCTACAAGTCAACTGGTTTGAAAACTGTAGATGAACTTTGCTAAAAGGACATTTCCTTTCACAAAAGTAGAAGGTATAGTTCCAGGAAAACTCTGTCTTAAAATTCCTCATTTGCTCAACTGACAGTGCATAAATGCCAATGCTTTTAATGTAATTTAAAGTATTCTTTCTTCTCTAATTAGAAATAACCTTCATTTATTTATTTCTGGTTTTTTTAATTGACTGTCTCTATGTGAATGAAATTTCTCTGTATTCAAGAACTATGCATTTTTTAAAATTTATTTGGTTTGATTTTGTGTGAGGCATCAGAACCTCCTACGGCAGTGTAACTCCCTTCATGAGAGTTATTGTATTGATAACATAAATAAATAAGGTATAAGGATCTCCATAGTTCCAAAGAGTGAATAAATTACTCTTTTGAAGATGGACAGGGCAATTATTTTCCAACATTTAGCTTTCATAACCATATCTTTCTTACCATGCCAAATGTCACAGGTGCAGGGAACTATGGATTCCAGGCACAGCCCATGGCGTTCCCAGGAGGATTTGTCCCCCCACCTGTCCAGAGCCAGCCCACCATGGATGGGACAATCTGGATGCCAATCCCTCCTTCTATTCCCAACTGCCCTCCTGGACTGGAGTACCTCACACAGGTACCTGCACCCTTCCTCCTTGCCCAGAGATGAGGCATTCTGCTCTGGGAAGCAGCCTGCATCCATGAAATAGCAAATAAAGCACCTGGCTATGTTGGAACTGAATAGGCTGCTGCTTGTGGGCTGCTAAGTGGAGCCTTTTCTATTGTCTAAATGCAGAGATACCTATTAGAGATGCAGCACTTATTCATGGAGTATCTTTCTGGAAAGTAAGGTGCTAAAGGATGAGAGATGGAGGTCTGTCATACATCCCTCCCATTTCTGAAGTTACTCTTTGGGAGATGTAATGTATTTTGGAAAAGTGCATAGAATAAATGCCTATTATATGGGAAACTCTAGCACATTAGAAGCACTTAATTTTCTATGTGATGTTTTCTTCACACCTCTTAATATTGTTAGTAGAGCTGCCAGTCAGACTTCACAGCATAGAGAACGCTAATAGCAAACTAAGAATTGTTTTCACATTGCTGAATATGTCTTTGTAGTGTAAAATACAGTTCATCTCAGCACTGGAAAGATTAATACTGATGTATTGTTGCCAGTTCTGCAAAGTGCTAAAAAGAAAGGGAAAACAAAAAGCACTGGTGAAGAGAGGCTGATTTTCCCCTGAATTTTCCTTTGCGCTGAGCAGTAGCTGGGCTTCTACTCAATACCCCCATTTCCTGCTTTTGTCTGTGTGGAGTCTGTGGGATGTGATGTGAGAGCTCTCTGAGGCTCTGAGTCCTGACAGGAGCACAGGTGTGTCAGCCCTGTGTGCTGTCACCAAACCAGCTTGGGTTCAGCTGCCCCCATCAGCTCCAGTGCCCTGGAGCTCTCTTTGCTGACCTGGCAGGGGACAGGCCAAGGAGGGGAGTGAGCTATTCCAGAGCTTAAATGGGAGATAATCTGCCTCTACAGTCTAAAATGAAACAGCAGTTCTTGAAACTACAGTTTTTCTTAGTTGTAACTTGTTAACTGTTTCTTCTGTTTAATTTTTCAACCATGACCAGATTGACCAGATATTAATTCATCAACAACTTGAAGTTCTTGAGAGTAAGTACAAAGTATTTAAATCTATTAATCCCAAGAACAGTGAAGTCTAGGCTTTCTTTGACACTATTTTTAAGGTGATTACCACCTTTGTCTTTCTTGTATTACCTGCCTCAATTCCTGCAGAAGTCCTGAAGAAGTGGAGGAGAAGAAGGAAAAACAGGAGGGAAGAATATTTTCAGCAGGTTCCATATCTCAAAAGATATACAGCAATGCAACTGAATAATCTGGGTTATAAATGCTATAGTTGATATATAGCTAATTATAGATGAAGTCACACATTTCCAATCTTACTTGTTAACGATGATTTCTATTCTCTTCCTTAGTTAAAGATTTTGTTTTCTGTCTTGTCATATCCCATCTAATTCCATGGACTGGCATGTGGCTTTGATCCCTTTTACAGGCAGTCCTGCTGTTTTAGCAAACTGAATGGCTTTCCTTCTGCTCTCCTCTTTCTGTGCTTTAAGAATATCCAAGTTATCAATGTCTGTCAAATAGAAGGAATAAAATGAACCATACATCCCAGATAATCTCTAACATTGCTGCTGCATTTTGCTTTCTGGTTCTTTCTACAGCATATAAGAATGCTCTCATTTGTTATAGAAATCAATTAAAATTTCTGTCTTGGCTCTTGTTGCTTTTGATGTGTGCTGCTGTAATTCTTGACTGGGAGGTTTTTTTGTGGCTTTCTTATTCTGAATTTATTTGTGCCCTTTTCTGGCTTCACCCCCAAATGCACATCTCTCTTTAACTCTTATCCATGCAATTCTCCCCTGAGAACCTTCCTTGCTGTGTTATTGGTAATGGTGGTGCTTGTTCGGGTGCCTGTGGCCAGGGGGGACACTGGGGACAGATGGGAATCTCATGTTTTTTCCACATGTCCTTGCTCATGGTGCATTCTTCCTTTAAACTTCTTCATCAGGCTTTACTGCTTGAGGGTCCTTTCCATCATTTCCCTCTGACAGACTCTGAGAGAGCCTTGCCTTCCCAAAGAGCAGGGATTGTCTGACCAGACCCTCCTAGCAATTTAGCAGGTTTTTCCTCTTTTTTCAGTCGTGACTGGCTTTGAAGAAAACAACAAATACGAGCTGAAGAACGCCCTGGGGCAGAGGATTTACTTTGCAGCAGAGGACACTGACTGCATGACCAGGAACTGCTGTGGGCCTGCCAGGCCCTTCACCATGAAGATTATTGATAACCTGGGCCGGGAGGTGATAAGGCTGCACAGACCCCTCCGCTGTGATGCCTGCTGCTGCCCCTGCTGCCTGCAGGAGGTGAGTCCTGCCTCTCCCTGCCCTCCTCCTCCTCCTCAGACAGGCACCACCTTGTCTTGGATCAGGAGGTGAGGTGAAATGAGTCAGGGTTTTGCCAGTGAGGTGAGGGAAGAGGGATGTGTGGGATTTGTGCACGGGGTTCTTGGTCTGGGAAGAGGGAAGTGAACTGCAGTACTTGGGCTCACTGGACAGTTCTGATTGAGGGTAATGAAAAATCTGACTGAGAAGCATGTTGGGGAACTTGTGGCTGGTGCCGAAATCTGCACTTGGAATGGAACAGTAAGGCAACAGCGTTCATAGACTAACAGCTAGGGTTTTCATTTTACAGCTCTGAAAGCTCTAGTGGCATTCAACATAGGAGATCATGAGGTTTTTTTAAATATTAACATAATTCTGGAATTATACAACTTCTGAAACTCTAAATCTAAGCCTACTCAGAGCTCCTGCTGAGGCATTTGTAGTAGCTGCACCCTATAATGCCTTCACTGAATGCTTTTGGGATATTCACTGCCTTCCTTTCACTGGACTTTGGTTTTTATATTGTCGATGCATAGTTTGTGTGCTCCGGAGCCTGAGGAGTCTCTTACTCTTTTCTTGAAGGCAATAGCTGAATAAGACGTCAGCAATCTGAGTGGTCTTCTGAAAATACTCACAGCAAAATGCTTTGTAAGGCCAGATTGTTGTGGAAAAATAGGTTGTTTTACATTTGTGTGCTGGTGTGGGTTTTGTCTCACTAGCATGTGAAAGCATGATCATTCACTTGGAGGTTTTCTCTTCCCTGTGAAGCTGGAAGTCCAGGCACCTCCAGGAACAACAGTTGGTTATGTTGTCCAGAACTGGCACATCTGCCTGCCAAAGTTTACCATTCAGGATGAGAAAAGAAATGATATTCTGAAAATTAATGGCCCCTGTGTTGTGTGCCGTTGTTGTGAGGACGTTCATTTTGAGGTATGCAATGTAAAAATTGTTTGCATATGTCTGTTTTCAGATAGTAGTTTGGTATTAGTTTGTTGCTCAACTTACTACTTATCAATTGAATTGTATATATTAAGTAATTTCTACATCATCTTTTAATGCTGGTATAATCGAATGACTTCTCTATATACCTAAATTACTCTAGATAAACCAGAAAAACTTCCAGAAATTACATGTTAAAGCCACTCATCAGTGATCACTGAGAATTCCCCGTGGCTGCACACAAATTCCTTAATTGATATATTTAGGAGGAAAATCATTTGAATTTGTTATGTCAGGCTCTAAGGAAAATATAGTAAGCTGTATCAGGTATTTATTAAAATGACTTCCTTCAACCCCTTATTTAATCATCTAATAATCATTCAATGAACTAGTAAGCTAATTTAGACTTGAAATACAGAGCTGAATAAGTGAAGAGTTACATCTTTCCTTTTAAAATAATATTGGCTAATGCAGCATTGTTTTTGTAGACATGAAGTAAAAGATATACAAGACTACAATTTAATGTTTAAAATGATGTTGCAAATAGTTACTATAGCAAATTTATATAATTTTATTTTGGAAATTAATCTTTCACATGACCCAGAAGACTGGTTCTAACTTTAGAAAATGTAATGTTGCCAGAGGGCTAACCTCTGCTTTTGAGCAGAAGAATGTAATTTGTTTAATTTTCATTTGAGCAGTTCCTGATGCATGGCAAGAGAAACTAAATTCACTGTCTTGGCTAAAAGACACCACTTCCAGCAGAGTGTGTATCCCAGCACCATCAAGGAACTGAACTTCCCAGTCAAATTCAGAATCAACTTCATGCCTCTGATACTTTAGACCAACTTTCTGATCGTCTGATTGCCTTTTGGTACAAACCCTTGCACTCAATAAGTGTGTTAATTAAAATAACAGTCTGAAGCTTTTAAATGGAACTATTCCAAAATGGGTTTGGGAATATTATGACAGAAAGGTTTGATGATGCTTTTTAAAATTTTATATTAAACTCTAGGTGATGTCTCTGGATGAGACTTGTCCTGTTGGGAGGATTTCTAAGCAGTGGACTGGTATTGTGCGGGAAATGTTTACAGACACAGATAACTTTGGAATCTCATTCCCAATGGACCTCGATGTGAAAATGAAAGCTGTCATGCTTGGTGCTTGCTTCCTGATCGTAAGTTATTCACTAATACTTGAACACAAACTAACTTTTTTCATCTCCATGTTTAAATTGTGGTGATAAAGGAATTAAATTTGAGCTCCTTCAAGTGGGCGACAGCTTGAGAACTTCTGTGTGTAAAACCGACCACAAAAGGCAACACAGAATTATTTCAGACAATAAGCTTATTCTAAACTACATGCAGAGCTAATTGTATTTAATAAGAGTTTCACATTTGGTGGGACTGAAAAAAGGAAAAGGAAAGACTTCTTCCAGACTCATTAGCAGAGGAAAGCAAATTTATGGATGGTGAAACCAGAAAAATACAGATTAGCAATAGCCAAGAGACCCATCCAAAGCCCAAGCAGCCCACTGGGCTGGTGGACAGCTGAATGCTGCTGCCACTGCCTCCCAGCTCTCTTTGGTAGCATGTGAAGCCCTGAACTGAGCAGGATTGATGCTCTCAGAGCAGCAATTTCCAAATGGAGGGACTGCTGTGGAGGCTCAGCTCACTGAACTTGTCAGAGCACTTCTCAGCAGTAGTCAATAGTGCAAAGCAACTCACTGTCCTCTCTGAAAACAGTGTGGAACACGACCCTGTTTCCATCTAACAGTACAGTTCTGCATCCAGGTACCATTCAGAACATGCACTGCTTCTGTGCTGGCTGGGAAAGGGGCATGTGAAGAGGCAGGAAAGGAGCATGTGAGGCACCTTGAATTTGGAAAGGTCTCTCCAACCTGTGACAGCCCTGAGCATGAGCAGGGTTTTGTTTAGCTGTGTGTGTTCCTGTGCTTCCAAGTGCTTCAAGTGCAGCATTAGGGAGTGGGAGCACCCTGGGCTTTCAGGCACAGAAAGGGGGCCCCCACCAGTAAACTAAAGACAGCCATTATTGTGATGGACTCCAGTCTGAGGGAAAATGAGAGGAAATAAGTCAGGCTGAACAAAGGGCAGAAATCCCTAGTAAAGGAAGCATAGCTGTGGCTAGTGATAGATTAAAGGTTCCCATGTTGGTCTCTCACTCTCTGTGGATGTCCCATTCTGAAAGACCCGGGTGGTGAGGGCATGGCAAATGTGCCTTCCCCTTCTTCTCACCCTTTCAGGTTTCTTAGAGGAAGGTGTACATCAGGTGCAATATAGCCAGGGGATCTCAGAGCTAAGAACCACGTTTAAGAATTCTAATTATTTGTTTTGTTTGCCTTTTTTTTTTTTTGTCCCCTTAGGACTTCATGTTTTTTGAGCGTAGTGGTAATTAAGCATCTAAGCAGGAGTTTGGTAATGAAATCTAGATGTTCTCTATGGAAGGAAGAAGAACATGGATTTCCCAGCTTTCCAATGAATTGCTGACCTCCAGTAAGAATATGAGAAATGTACATGTTACAGTTACATTTCTGTAAGCTAAAAGCTTTATGGTCTTATCTATTATTTTTTTAATATGGTGAAATAATTTTTAGTATTCAAATAAGGGCTCTTTATCTGCACAGATCAATAATATCATTTAGAGAAATATATAGCAACTTTTTTTCCCCCAAGAACTCTGTAATTTTAAAGTAACTAATTATAGTAGTTATTTAAAACTACTATCATAATACTTTGATTCCTAAAAGAGAGGACTACTTTTATATTCAATATTAATAATAACATAAGCCTAATAAGGAGACACTGATATTTTCCTGGATATTCTTCTTTGGTAGTTTTGCCTTAGTGTTCACATTCTGTTGTTTCTATCTATCAAATATATACATTCAGAGCAAAGGAATGCACTTGAAGAGAACTATCTGAAATGAGTGTAAAATGTAATTACTGTGGTGTCCTGGGTGTGTGTGAGCTGGAGCTCATTTCCCCAGCAGCCCTCACAGGGCTGTGCTTTGCCCTGCTGAGGACCCAGCAGTGTTTTGGTGCAGCTGAGCAGTGCTGGCCCAGCAGCAGCTCTGTCTCCCCAGCATCCCACCTTGTGGTGGTGTTTGAGGGTCCCCATGGTGAAGGAAGATATGAAGATCTTGACTCTATGTTTCAGAAGGCTGATGTATTATTTTACAATTTATATTATATGAAAAGAAAATGATATATTAAAACTATATTAAAGAAAGAGAAAGGAGACATCAGAAATCTAGAAAGGAATGAATAATAAAAACCTGTGGCTGACCAGAATCCCAAAACAGCTGGACATGTGATTGGTCATCAAGGGAAAACAATTCACATGCTGGGTAAACCATTCTCCAAATCACATTCCAAAGTAGCAAAACATGGAGAAGCTGAAGCTTTCCAGCTTCTCAGGAGAAAAGATCCTGGCAAAGGGATTTTTCCTAAGCTATGTCAGTGACACCACCTGCCTTGAGTAGGCTGGGGGTGGGCAAGGTGCTGGCAGGGGACACAGCCAGGCCAGCTGGCAAAAATTGGCCAAAGGGACATTCCACACCTGTGACATCAGCTCGGGTATCAAAGATAAGAAAAGGAGGAGGAAGGTGTTGCATTCAGTTTTTACAGTGTTTGCCTTCTCAAGCAATCACTTCCATGCTGAAGCCCTGCTTCCCAGGAAGTGGCTGGGAATTCCAATGGGAAGTACAGAATAAAATGTCTCTTTTTTTTTTACTTTGTTTATGCACACACAAACTTTTCTTTTCTTTTAGTAAACTGCTTTATATTAACCTACAAGTTGTTTTGTGTCATATTTTATCTCCCCTGTCCCTCTGGGAAGCATGGAGTGGCCTGGTAGGCACCTGGCACCCAGCCAAGGTCAACCCACCACCCTGAGTGATGGATATGTTCTCAAATATAACTCCTCCTGAGCATGACCTGGTTTTCTTATTTGGACTGTTATGAAACTTAAGCCCTGCATGTTCATCAACAGAAGTGTAGGGGTGACAGGAAATAAAACTGCCTGTGCCTGCTTCTGTTTCATAATCCTTTAATAATTGCTGTGTGCAGGAGTGTGGCCTGAGGCAAGGAAAAAAACTGTTAGTTCCTTCTCAGTTTCTCCAGTCCTCTTTGCTCCTCACTTAGTCCAAGGTTCTCACAGATTGTGAGTCTGTCTGTTGTTTTGGGGGCAGAGAGTAAACAGAACAAGTGTTCTGCATAAACAGAGCAGTTTCATTTCAAAAGCAGACACATGGAGTGGCAGGTCAACTTCTTAGCATTTTTAGCTTTATTTAAATTATTTACTTTTTTTTTTTTTTTTTAATGCCTAAACAATGGATAAGTTGCAATTTCTTACCCCTGCACACAAGCACATGCGCAGAAGGGTTCTGGGCATCCAGCTGTGGGGAGAAGTCCTTGCTGGTATTTTCAGTTGCATTTTAGTCCTGCTGAAAAGTCCTTCTGTTCAGTATTTTCAATTTATTGGTTGCTTCTGGACAGTCAAAAAGCAAAAGAAAAGGAAAATGCCATTGTTACTGTGTACCTGGATTCTCTTCGGTGTTGGAATTATTGTGCAAATTTGTGACAACAGTCCAGACTGTTCTGAAAGTCTTTAAGTTGTATATTATTCCTTCTTAAATTAGCTTCTGCTGCTAAATTTCCTTGTATATGGAGTTGCTGGAGGTGCATTTTTGATTCATCAGCACTATTCTTAGGGAATTAAATTAATATTATAATTTAATTGTTATAAATGAAAAAAAATATTTTGTGCTTTATTGCCCGTCTGTTAATGAGGAAATCTAATCTTGCTAAAATCTGCTAAAAGTTTCTGGTTACTAGAGTTGGGAGTAGAAAGTACATGTATTAGAAACCAGACCTGTCCTCTAGGGATTCACTTGGCTGAGTCAATCATTATTATTTTTCCTGCAAGGGGTGGCACACAGCTTCATTTCTGTCTGTAGCTCTGAAGTCCCAGGCTCAAGCATATCTGATGCTTGAAACTCCAGAAGTTATTAAAATATTTTTATAAACATTGCTTGGGAGTATTTGAAAATACCTATTTACTTCCATGGCAGGTGCTGCATAGGATTTAAATTTACAATTTGCATTAGAGTGAGGTCCATGGCTGTTTGAGGGATGGATGGAATCATATTTTGCAAGTAGACAAAGCAGGGATACCTTTGCCTTTGGTGAAAAGGATCTTGTGTTATAAATTCATCTGCTGACAATAAGCTGGGGAGGGTATGCAAATTTAAGTGAGGTATTAGGAGGTTGGCCTAATAGGACATAGGACATAACCAGGAGATTGTTTTCATTCCTCCAAGTAATTAAAATTTTTTTCATTCAATTTTTTTTTCTTAGTTATTCATCCTAAGTTCTGGAAGCATCATTGCTCAAATAACCTTGCATACAAAATTACACAGAAAAATTAATGTACATCTCTGTAGGGCAGTAAGGGAGGAATGGGAGAATGCAAATCATTAAGAATTATCAAATTCACATCAACATGTGTAGGAAAACAATGTTGCAATTCTTGTATCTTAAGAATTTCAGTTGCAAGCAGTAACAATTGTGTGAAGACTAATCAAAGCAAAGATATCTGTGCTTACACACAGATTTCTCAAATACAGTGAAATCCAACACTGAAGTTGTGTAAGTTTTGCTGTTGACCATTTAGATTTTTTTGCTTTTGTGCTGCTCAAGTTTAGTGGTCAGATTGATGCAGTTTATTCCTTTATCATGTATTTAGCAAAATTAGTAAATAAGGTGAAAATTTAGATAACCTGAGAGAATAAGTGAATCCAGCAAAGGAGTAAGAAGTGGCAGCTAAGCATGTTAGATTTGCCAGAATTGTGGTAAGAACTGGAAAGAAGTTCTGCAACCTCCGATCATAAAACAACAGAGAGAGAATTGGAGGAACTTTCCATCAGCTGGGAAACTGGATAACTCTGACACTGGTTACACACCTCATAAACTTGTATCTTATGAAACAGTTCACACTCTCTCATGAAGGTAAAAATATTGCATGGGAAGTCCTAACTAAAGCTCTCCAGGCCTAACTCTCTAGTTACCCAAACAGTATCTTATTGCCTTTAGCACCTCATTTTTTTCTGTTGCTATTTAATTGAAAAAATGGTTTTCTTTAAATTTTTCAAGAACTTGTGGAGACTTGCTCATTTCTGAAACTCTGTTAAATGAAGAATAAATCATTCTTTGAGCTGTCTTTTTTTTTTTTTTTTATTTTGAAAGAATCATAACAGATCCATATTTAATAAATCACCAGTCCAGACCTCTCCACTCTTCATCCTTCAGACAATAAGCAATACAATGATTTAACCCCCTGTCCATAAATCCAGGCTGTGTAAAGCATTAGAAGATTTCCAGCATGCTGCCTGTTATTCAATAGCATCTCAGTGAGTTGAGCTGTTACATAAAACCCTTTACAGAGTGAGATTTGCAGATGGATTTCTCTACTTCTGTTAATGACCTTTCCATCTGTGCCATCCTGGTAAGTTTTTCATCTCCAGTTGCACAGGAAATGCAGTTGCTAAATAAAACCCTGGGATTCATATAGTACACAAAACCATAATTTATATGATGTTGCTCAATAGAAAAGCATATTAATTCCACTTTCCAGAAAACAAAGTTATAAGTGTTTTTAAAAAGTGATTTATTACTTTAGTTATAAGCAAGATCAGGCTTTTGCTAATAACCTTGTTAATTGGAAAAGAGAAGGACCATTGTTTTAAAGTATTAAAGTATAGGAGTTTGCCTTTTAAAATCATTTTAGTTCATATTTGCAAAGTTCATAAAAAGGTCTCCTTGGGTGTTTTTGTTGACCCAAGGACAGCCTTTACATCCCTCATGTACCTCGTGCTTTGACTAACAAGAATAACTTTGACCAGAAGCTGAGAGTGGGAGCGGGACTGCACAGCAAAAGGTGAGTTGGGGAAGGAGAGAGCAGCTGATTTCCTGAGCTAAATTAACTCCCTCTGCTGTAGGTGCAGGGATAACTCTTGGGAAATGCAGGAGATAGTAAAGAAAATCAAATCTCTGTGCAAGGGAATTTGCTGTAAAATTGCATGGTTCAAGTGTTTCACTGCTAATGGCCACTGTATGATATGGATGTTAATAATCTGCAAGAGGAAATGGTGAAAGCAGGATTTGGGGAACAAGCTGTGAAACCAGAGACACTTGAAGATAAGGAAACCTCCCACAACCAGGGCAAGGAAACAGCTGTGGGTTGCATCAAGGGGAAACCACCACTCCACCACAAGGTAAGCAGCCATGTTAAGCAAAAAGCAATCATGTTGGTTTGATCTTAACATTCGTAAGGCAGGAGATAAAAAAGGTGTAAGAACTGCAGAGAAAACAGCAAGAGGTCAGAGGGAGATTCTCCCTCTAGCAAAGGGAAAGTGCAGCTCTCCCAGGGTGGAGGGAAGAGCCCAGCTGGTGGGATTCTGTTGCGTCAGGGCTCTACATGCAATTTCATGATGTGTATGGTTATACATGCCATGGTTTTGTGCTGGGGTTCAGTAGCTCCCTGTCACCATTCACTGGGAGGCTTTTGCACATTACTGGTTTTGTTCTGGAGAGAATTAATCTTCTGATTTATAGCTAAATTTGACCTACCACTTAGGTTTAGTTTATTTACAATTTTTACCTGAAAAACTTTACATTATTAAAGACAGCAATGAAGAGAAAATATCCATGAAAACACTGCAGCATACCAAAGAGGAAGAAGAGAGGAAAACAGGGATGTACAATGACTGTGCCTCTTATTTTTCGATGGGTGGCAGTGTTAGCACAGAAATTCTCTTTCCACTGCTTAAACCTGGCTCTGAGGTCTACAGGCAGTTTCTTTAGATGTCATTCTGATTTTCTCAGTGGAGGAATTTCACATTACACTATCTCCAAAGTATGTATTCCCTACATGAGTGTGGAAAGCAGGATGTGTCTTTCCCACCAAAGCAGCAAAATCCTAAGCTTCAAATGCAATTACGCACCACTAGGAAAATTACAAAGTGTGCATGTT